TTGTGAAAAAGTTGTCATTTTAAATCCCCCCCTGTGGGCAGGTTAAGTGTCAGATTTACAAAAAAAATATACCAAATGATAGGTAAAGACATCAAGCATCTATATAAAAAAAAATCATATTGATATGTTCATTTTTGAAAAAGTTACGGCAGTTTTTAGTAAAAAAAATTGAAAAAATTTCGAAAATTAGCGATTTTTAAATTTGTAATTTTTTTGGAGGTTTCCCCTATTTACGGGGAACGAGGGAAATTTTTTCAATTTTGAAGGGTAATGTCTTCGACTAGATACGATTTGTGATCTTTTGACGTATCATTGAAAGAAATCCGTTCGGTGAGAGCTGAGAAAAAGTGGTAACAGACACAAAAAAAAAAAAAAACCAATACCTTCTCAGCATCGAAGCTAAAAAAGTTAGTAAAACATTATGGTAACGATAATACATTATTTCATATTGTAAATAGTAGTAATTTTTACTTATATTAAATGTATTTATGTCGTTATATGATATACAGGGTAATCAAGAAGAAACTTTTTTTAGAAACTATTGAAAATTTTAATTTTCTAAAAGAAAAAAATTGTTTAGTACAAAAAACTCTATAATACTATGTAGTTTATTTAATCATTTTTTTTTATCCTTTCAGAGATTAAAAACCTTAACATTATTATTTTTTAATTAATAATTTCTATTTTTAACATTATATTATGATAGAAAAATAAATTGTAAATAATTTAAAAATAGTTTTTTTATTCATATTATAACGACAAATTATTATTTTTTTTTTACTATTAATTAAAAAGTTTTCTAAATAAAATATTGATAAGTCCAATAACCAGTATGTAATATTACTTTTTGAACTGTTATAATTTTTTTTTATAGGTGAGTGTGGTAGGCAACGCTATATCTATACGTTATGATAAAAATAGAGTGTCACTAAACACTACCCTGCTTCTCACTTTTTTTTACTTTCGAATGGTCAATATCTAATAATGCTTAAAGTAATAATACAAAATTAGTAATCATAAGTCAAAATTTTATTTTAACCATTTTCCATTTAATAGTAAAAAAAAGGTCCGCATAGTTGGAATATATGTAGATGATATCTAACAGTGATTAAAATCACTATAATAAAAACAGATTAGATGCAAATATGTAGATAGTGTTAAATTTTTAGAAGGAATTTTGGAATTTTCAAAGGCAAATTAATTCTTTTTTCTTTAATTATATTTTGACTACAAGTTTAGTGATTTATAAGTATAATAGAGAACTAAATACTTATTGTATCAATTAAATTTAGTAAAAAATTATTATTTAATAATATAGTATTGTAATTTTCATGAAGAATTTATAAAAAGTTATAAAGTAGTTGTATAATTTGCACACTTGGCCAGAATAGTTTTCTGAATACCCTGGGAATATTTTTTTAAATCCTTATTTAACCTAAAAAAAATATTACTAAACTTATGATTTTGAGGGATGTAAATTTATTCTAAATGTAAAAATTTTAATGTAAATATTAATTTTTTAAGTAGGATAATTCGTTGTTTTTGTAATTTATAGCATATTTAGGAATACTTAGCAAAAAAATAAGAATTTTACAATGCAAAATGTGAATTTTTAAAATTTTTGAGCATTAACTTTGGTTCTTATGAGCTGTGTAATGTATTTTAATAAATAATTGAAGTATAAAATAGTTTTTAGATTTGATAATAATGATTTATAATAGTACTCCTAGAGGTATTTTAAAAAGTAATCTACCCAAGAATGATAATTTGTTCCTTCTATGGTGAACAACTATTAAATTTGTTATTATAGATTAATAAAAAGAAAGAAAGTTTAGGGGGATTCATAATGACAACTTTTTTAAATTAATTTTTAAAAGTGTTCCGGAAATACTGACACTTTTATATTTATTTAAATTAAAGTTTATGTAATATATTTAATTATGGAAAAAAAAATTGTTGGAATTTATTTTGTCTTCACGGTGAAAATGACTACTGTATACTATTTTTGTTTTAAAATTCTTGATTATATATTTTTGTAATACATTTTTATAAGGCAATGCAGATAAAAATAATATTAATAATTTTGTTATTGGTTTTAAAGTAATGACTGGAGATAAGGAGTTAGTGTGGCTATTTTTATCACTAAGCATTTCTCGGTTTCACATCTCCTCCCATTCAGTTATTAACACGTTAATAATTTCTGAATTTAGAGTTAAACATCCATATTGATTATATATTACTTGCGGTTACTCAAGAGTAAAATAAAATATTTTATAACAATATAACACAAGGAAACTTCTTGATTTTTGCTATGTGGATTTAAATAGTATACAATGTATTATTTTTGACCGAAAAATAATTTAAGAAGTATTACACCCTTCTATGATCAATCAAATAATGCATTAAATAAATTAAAAGACTGTAGCACAAAATATATAGGAAGAATAAAAAAAGTTGTTTAATTACTATTTACTGACCTACAATATGGGCTTAGATTGAGTATGGATCTATCAATTACTATTCTGCCCAACCAAACCACTTAACAATTCTAGACCCTAATTACAATGAAAGGATCAGAATAGCTACAATGATTATTATCTTAAATTACAAAGAATAATCAATTCAAATAAAAGGATAATAATTTGTTCTTTAATATTGTTTAAACACCCAATTAACCAACATATGATACATTCTCATAATAGAACATTTTATCAGTGACTGCTCAAAATACTCAAATGCTATAATAATTCTAGAAAATCACTCTTTGAAAAAACACTCAGAGAAGAAAATGAAAAGACGACACATTAGTTCTTTATTAACCTAGGCATAACTAATTAATTATAAGTTAAATTTATTGAATATTTATTATAATAATATAAAAATAGTTATTGAAATTTATAAATTGTGGAAATAAAAGTAGATTAATTCCATTAAAATGGTTAAAATCTTTTAATAAAGAAAAAAATTTAATGAAAATAATGAAAAATGTTTAAAAAAGAATTAAATTTTAATTTATGATAAAATTATGTTTTAGCTATTTAGAATATCAGTAACAACTTATATATACATTAGTGTAGTCTTCCAATATATAGTGATTTTTTTTCTTTCAGTCTTCTGTATGGTTTCAATATGTATAAAATTTGATGTCGATTAATTAAGTTTAACCCATGCTCCCCGGTAATTATCGTAACTCAAAACTTAATAAAATAAAGAGAAAGTTGGATTAAAGTGTGAGTGAGAGTTACTTTTAATTTTTCTTGTTTCTTATAATATCTTAAGTAATAATATTGATGATTAATAGTAATGATTGATAAATAAAATAACACAATTCAATTAAGTTCACAACTTTAAAATGTAAAAATTTTGACAATGATGATCACAATGTTGGTGTAACATTGTCTAGAGCACGATAAGAATAAACCAAAGTAAGGGTTTGCTCTGCCTTTTTATTATACTTTGTACCCCCAAAAATCATCATTGTCTCATTATTAAATTATTACTGTTTATTAATAAATAATACAGAAACTATTACAGATGAATAGTATTTAGGACATTTTGAAATTTTATATATAACATCAACATTGTTTTTTACACATAAGATTAGGATTGATACAATGCGTGTAATTATTAAGATTAGAATAAAAAAGATGACAAATATAATTTATAAATTTTTTTTCGAAAGAGTGATTTTAAAAGTGACTATTAATTGATTTATGATTGAATGTGTGTATTACAATATAACTAAATAGTATGCATTTGTTGACTATTTCTCTTAAATTTTTGTTTGAAAAGATTATATTCTAAGAATATGAATATAATGTATAAATATCCCATGTTATGGTAGTGATGAGTACATTACGACATTACTTACTGAACATTCTGTAAAACTTTCCATGCTATTTAATATCACAAACGATTAGTGTGCTATTGTCAATGTTATTATATATACTAAAGTAATACGGTATGTCTTACAGCATACAGAGATATTACGCTTGTAAGATAAATAAATTTATAATATAGTAGTGTTAGTATTAGTATATCTTTGAAATTAATGTATAATTTAAACAAATGAAAATACACGTGTCTTTTAATTCTCTGTTAATTCAATCCATTATAAACTGAACATTTTTTTTTTTTTAAACAAACCTGCTGCTAATTTAAGTTATCATGATTTGTTTTACTATAACTAATTTACTTGTTTAATAGATAGATATATTTTCCACTATGAAAGATGTTATAAAAAAAACTTTTCCACCAAGAATCAAAACAAAAAGTTACTCATTCAAAAATAAAAAGTTGGTAGCAAGACAAGAAAAACTCAAAAGAGAAGTGCAAAGTAAAAAAAAGTTAATAAGTCAGTTACAATAATATAATTTTATATTGTAAATCTAAAAATATTTATAAATGAAAATTAAATATATGTTTATTATTAAATATGAAGAAAAGTTAACTTTACACAATATAAGTTTATTAAATACATGACTTCTTCTTTAAAAACTAAAAATATGAATTGTAATACCTATTGAACACAATAAAACCTAGGTTTTCACACAAATGTTATTAGTATTTATTATAGTTAATATAATATATAGTCATATTGTAAGGTATGTGATAATAAGTATATGTCTTAACTGAAATAAAAGGTATGGGGACCAAGATGATGAAGATGATGTGTATACGACACTGATGTTGAGTTTGCTGATTGGATATTCACGTGCGTGTAATCATACAGCAGTTACTGTGCTCGGCTGACACTCTGGATTAGCTGTGGCTGTCGAAAGGCCGTTGTTTTAGGAAGGGAATAAGGGTAACACCTAGGTATAAAGTGCAAGACACAAATACCAGGTGTACTTAAAAAGGAGCCCAAAGTATGAGGTGCAGGCGAAGAGCAAGGCACAAATACTTTGGGTATAAGAGAGAATAAAGAACAGGGGTAGCCAAATATGAGGTGCAGACGAAGTGCAAGACACAAGTACTCTGAAATATTGAAGTCGAGAGTAGGTAGGTAAAAAAGGAAATAAAGACTTGACTTTATGCAGTAAGCCGGACAGCAACAACGTAGTACTGAGACTGATGAATGACACAAGGCACTGGAGTCAACTGACCAAGATGGCCAGGTTTTTTGGGTATTTATAATAATTTGGACTATTGACAATTTAGCAATAAATAATAATTGTTAATTCATCAGTCTCAGGAAGCGAATGTGCTGTCTGTATTTTATTATAATAAATTCTCACAATAATGATAACGTGACACCATCACATATAATACATATTATTGAAATCAAATTTAGTAAGAAATTGATTTTTAATATGTTGTTTTGTGAAATAGTGGAGGAGTTCAACACAAAATATTTTCACTTTTGTTAAAAATATACCAAAAATTTTTGACAATTTTAAGAATAAAAACATCAAAATTTACTGATTTTAAAAATCATAATTTTTTTCCTCCATATATGGTTATTGAAAGAAATTTTTCAATTTTTAATTGTCTTCAAATAGATACAATTTATAATCTATTGATGTATTGTTGAAAGAAAGTGGTGACAGATGTTATGTCAATATATATATATATATAAATAAACACATCATAGTAAAATTAATACCTTCTCAAATTATCTCATTTAAGGACTTTAATAGGACCACCTCATAATTTCATAATAATAATTAATATTATGACAGTAATAAGAATTGAGTCATCCTTCCTTAAAATAAAGTTTAATAACGTCTAAAGATGATGATCTAAATGACAAAGTTGTTTTTTAAAAAATAAAAAAAATTATACATTTTATTAAGTTGGATGCTCTTTATCAGTACAGCTGTGATATTTATTTGTTATTGCAAAAAATTCATTATCCAAATGGGATAGTTATTTTACAGTAAAAAATATGCAATAACAATAATTATTATAAATAATAATTTATATTCTTAGTGGAATAATTATATATTTACAACAAAATTGTGTACAATTAGCTTGCAAATACTGATTTTACAATTTCACTAACAAGTAATATTTATAAATAATAATTTTTCTACAATAATTTTATTTTAATATAAAATAAATTATTTCTATTACACAGTTGATATACTTAAAATTTTATTAAAATCAACTATTATTTAACACTCATTACATAAAATTCTATTATACATTATAAAATTGATTAACTTGTGATGATTGTAACTCAATTTGCGCCATTTTAAATTGCAGAGTTTGTAACCACTTGAGAATGTCTATGTTAATTTCAGATTTAGACAAATTAGATCTTGGTATCAATGTTGGAGGTTCTCTGGGTGAATATTCGGTACATGTGTCTAAACGCAGTTTAATGTGACCAGGCAACTGAAAAAGTGTATTATTTTAATTTAATATTTATTTTGTTTTTAAAGGTTGTAAATGTAGTTCTATGTTCTTAACCTTCCTCGCCTTAATTCCAACTACTTGGAGTCGGCCACCCTTATCTTAAACTTCCACTTGACACGATCTCCCACATCAGCTGTCCTCATATTGCATTCAATAACATCTCTCTATCTCTTTTTTGGTCTTCCACTACCTCTTCTTCCTTCAACATCCATTTCTATAACTGTTCTTACAGCTTCCGATTCTTCTCTCTTCATAACATGACTAAACCATTTAACTGACCCTAAATACTTAAAACTTTTCACCTCTTCAATCACGTCCTAGCCTATTGTCACTGATCTCTTCATTTCACCTACCTCGTGTTCTCTTTTGTCAAACTCGTACTCTATATACTCTGTCTGACTTCTGCTTATTCTTAAACACTTTTCTTCAACAGCTGATCTCTAGTAATTTCATCCATCACTATAAAGAATAAGTAAGGGCTTAAAGCAGAACCTTGGTGCACTCTTACTCTTACCTGAAAACCTTCTGTTACTCCTCTTATGCTTTTTACCCTGGTACAAGTGCCATCATACATATCTTCTATTATATAATGTACCTTTTCGGAACTCCTTTTTTCATTAATGACCACTTTAAAACCTCTCTCAGTACTCTATAATACGCTTTCTCCAAATCTATAAATAACATACACAGCTTTTTCTTCTTTTCCCTAAATTTTTCTATTAGTACACAAAATATTGGCTTCATTGTTGACTTACCAGGCATAAATCCAAACTGGTTTTTAGATACCGATGTCTCATTTCTTATTCTCTTATCTATTACCTTTTCCCAAATTTTCATACTACAACTCATAAGCTTTATGCCTCTATAATTTTCACACTCCTGTATGTAACCTTTACTTTTAAATATTGGCACCACAATACTATTCCTCCATTCATTTGGAATTTTCCCTTCTAATAAAATTTTATTTAAAAGTTCCTTTAACCACCTTTTGCCAACACGGTCTAATATTTTCCATACTTCTACTGGCACTTCATCTGGTCCTACTGCTTTACTCTTTTTCACAGCCTCCAATACTTCTTTCTCACTAATTAAATCTACCAGTCCCCCATTCCACAAGATGTCCTCTAACGTCTCTTTTGGATACTCCTCATTCAGTAATTTTTCAAAATACTCTTTCCACCTTTTTTCACATCATCATCAATCAAGAGTACCTTATTATCAACACTTTTTATACACCTTATATAATGATAATCTTTAGACCTTTTCTTTCTTACTTTTGCAAGTCTATAGATTTCTTTCTCGCCTTTCTTTGTTTCTCACCTCTTAAACTTCGCCTTACTTACTACACACTTAGCTTCTTTGCACAAGCGTTTATACTCTATCCAATTTTCTCTCCTTTTGCTCTTCTATCATACTTTAACTTATTTTGCTTTTACTTATTTTCTATGATTTTTTGAACGTTCTCATCCCACCACCAGGTTTCCTTTTTTCCTGGCATTTTACTCCTACTCTCACCAACAATCTCCTTAGCAATATTCTTTACACAACTAGCAAATCATTTATGTCTACCTGACATTCCACACCGTTCTCTCTTTTACTGTCTTCACAAACTCCTTTTCATTTTCCACTTTCGATTTCCCCCGTGTTCCTTCCATTTTTGTATATTCTCTTTCCGGTACATCACAACTCCATTACCATCAATCTATGTTGTGTAGTTACACTCTCGCCTGGTATAACTTTTCAATCCTTTACTCGCTTTACACTTTCTCTCTTCCACATAAAATAATCAATCTGTGATCTATTCCTCCCACTCTTATAAGTTATATAATGTTCTCTCTTTCTAAAATAACTATTAACCACAGCAAGATCATACGATACTGCAAAATCTAGGATTCTTTCTCCAGTCTCGTTCTTCCCACTATAACCATATTCTTTCATATCCTATCCTCTCATTACCTACATGTGGATTGGTTGGATTTGAGATCAGGTGATTCAAATTTAACAATACCCAACTGTCTATTTAATTGCCATGCCGATAAAACTTTAATGCAATAAAGTTTTTTTTTAGTTTTATGCCTTTGTTTCAAATTAACCGAGGTAAAAAATCATAAATGCAGTATAATGCTATTAATAAAATACATCAAAAATTTAATTTGACATTTTGTTGCTAAAATTTTTTTTGATACGGGATGTCATCAACATCTCGTATTTTTTAATATTTATATTGATAAATAATGATATAATTTTGATGAATATCGAATATCATTATTGAAAATTTATTTTGACGCAATTTTTTACTAAAGCTAATTAATTTTTAAAATGTATTAATTATGTCTGAGTATTAATTAATACTAACCTTTATATTTTTGTCAGTCAACAATACTTCTTTCCACATAGGTAAAAGTTTACATAATGTCACTGTTCTGCATTCCAACAATGCTTCTAAAAGACTCAAAAAGTGTAGATTCACCATTTCTCCCATCTAAATCATTAAAATTACATAATTATGATGTATAAATACAGTAATTATATTAATGTAACTATGTATGTATTAACAAAGAAATAATAATATAAATCATATAAATTAAGTAAGTCAGTTGTGAAAATTTACCATTAAAAGTATCAATTTCAAAATAGTTAATTATTTATGATTTTATTGACTTCTAGAGAAATTATTTAAAAGAATATATGGTGTGGTCTACCACGTTTTGACAAATCTAATGACTTTTAATCTATTTAATATATCATGTTACTTTTTTTTAAATTATTAATATACTTTAGAACTATAAAAATAATATTTTCATACTACTAAAATAATATTATTTCTGATAATTTAATCATCAAAAAGATTTTTTTTGAAAAATTATAATACCTTTAAAAAAATTTATTTACAGAACTTTAAAATTGAACTATCATTCTTTATATTAAAAAATGTTTGAAATTTCATTATTGTCTCATAGAATGTTATTACATAAAAAAATATGAAATGAAAAAAAGTGATATGTAACAATTTTAGCTTTGATTCGAAGCTGAGAATTTTAGATTTCATTTTGTTACAGGGCAATTTAATTATATTTATAGAATCAGAAAAAATAATTTATTAATTACTATATAGTGCTTTATTCTCAACCCTTTCATTATTAAAATCAAAAGGCTATGACTATGGGGGATTTATTTCCTTAACTCTCATTCATTTGACCACTACTTAATACTTTCCAATGTTATCTTTTTGAGACAGATCTATCTATACATATAATTTGAATGCATTGTTTTATATTTCCTAATAATTTTCAACCCTAAATTATAATAAAACATACTGTTTTGGACTTTGAAGAAAGATTAAGCATGCTTTTGGTAACTTTATTCCAAAAATCGTGTAAAATATTCATTGTAAATGAATGATGATCTCCAGCTGACATCATTTGTTGAGCTGTTTGTTCCATGTATATGGTCCACAACTAATAAAATGATTACATATTAAAGTTCTTCATTATCATTTTTACTTTTCAATCTATAATATTCATACTACCATAAGTAGCAAATAAGGTATGTACCGTATTTGCTACATATTTAGAAATATTCAGATTTTTAGTACCTGACAAAGGACAAATGCGTGGAAAAGCGATGACATGTGAATAACAGACGATTTAGATTCTTCAGCAAATCCAGTCATTATTACATTAATGTGTTCTGCTATTTGACATGAAACATCTTGAGATAACGGTAAACATGGACGATTTTGCATTCCCGTAAATGAAAGTGATCCGATTAAAATCCAAGACAATAGACGAATGTGACTTAGACAATCCGAAAAATCTTTACAGTTATACATAAATAATCTGTATAATGAAATAAATAAATGATTAGAGTTATTAAAATTGTGTACAATTTTGTAAAAGATTATAATTAAACACATAAAATAAAACTTTTTTCATATAGTCAGTTTTGAATTATTATTTTTAGAGAAAAAACATTGGTGCACCTAAAAAAAAATTCCCCATAATTTCATAAAATTATCAAAAAAAAAATTGATAAGCAAAATAAAATGGAGTATTATACTCAATATTTGGCTAAACATTGCTATTACTCAAGCAGACCAGAATAATGTTCTATGTTTACATTGACATGCAAGTTAAACGTGTCTAATTGACAACTATAATTTTTGAAATTGTTATAATTTTGCTGTAATTTTTTAAAAATAATTTATGCATTTTTAGACTACGTTAGAATAATATTTTCATCCATTAAATAAAAATTTTATAAAAATATTTTTTTCATAAATTTTTTAAATTTAAATTGGGATTCTTGTTAAAGAAAATTTAAACTTGGATCTACTAATCCTGAAGGGAGGAAAAAAATGTAATAACTAAATATAATTGTTCAATCAACACAATTTTTTCCTTTACAAATCTTTAAAACTTTTATTATTTTCCAAGAAAATAAGTGTTTTATTGTTAATAAATATTCTGTATATGCGACATATTAAAAATATAATGAATATATCTTAATCAAAACATGAATAATTGAATTGATTATATACTGAGTAAATTATTCTGTAAAAAGTAATTTATTTGAAAACCAAAACATCTACAATGTATAATGATATGAAAGTTATAATCTTAAGAGTTTGACAGTAAATTTATTAAATATTGATATAGAACCGTTACATTTTAGGTCATAATTAACAGAATATTATTATCTTTTTTTTTTTTTTAATTACCTAGTTGTAGTGACAAATTATGAGAGGTATAAATATAAAATTGTCTTACTCAATAGTTTGTATTTCATTGGGTCCATAGTAAAGCCAAGGAAAAATTTTCTGTAATGACCTAGCATCTCGGGTATTACTTTTTAAAAGTTCTAATGACAAATATTGAGACATTCCTGCCTTGACTGTGCTTCCAAATGTATCATCATTAATACCTTCTTCTGGTGTTATAAAACGATTCTATATTTTTATATTAAAAATTAATTCAAGTTCAGTTATTGTATAAATAAATTTTGAGTATAAGAATTCTAATAATAGTTAAAAATAAAAGTTTATGTGGTTTATTAATGTGTAATGGTTCAAATTATAATGTATATCTTTATTTTGATTTAAATTATCTATGGCCAAATTGAAGAGGAGTCTTGTTAAAGTATTCTGAATACTTTTTAGTAGTATTTGTCTTTGGAATGAAAAATAATTTTTATTTTTAATGTGTTTCAATTTTTTGTACTTACAAAAGTTACTTATTAAAAAATAATTAATTTTTTATTTGTTAATAGAATTTATACATATTGGTAATATTTCACAATTTCGACTTATGCACTTATAAATTGATGATTTTTTTGTTACATGGCTGATTTTATATTACTTACTATTACATTATTGTTTTTTGAATTTTTGGTCTGGTAATTTTAATTACTAATGTATTTTTTAAAACGAGGTACCTCGAAATTAGGTAATTCAAAGATTAATATTTATCACTAGTACAGTTTTTTGAAGAGAAAAATTTATTTATATTCATTTATTTTAATATAAAAAAAAAGTATATATATATATAAACCTTAATTTTTGTTAATGTGTTGACATCTGTCAAAAAATCTATTATATCTTGTAAATTATTTCGTAAAAGATCCGAAGCCCCAGTTGGTGCACTAATTATTGTTGTTGGGAATGTTGGCACTATATTTTCTAATGCAGGACATTCTGGTAATATACCGCCAATATCCTGAAATTCATTATTTTTTAAAATTTAGTTATACTATAAATATTTAAAAAAATTACTTGTAGAACAAAAGCAATAAAAATAAGAAAGTTGTTATTTATGTTTTGTGTTTTGAACTTTAAGGACTGCACCAATTCTACAGTTACAACTCTGGTTAATAAAGTTTTTTCTCTCTCCTAAAATCAAAATATTATGGATATTAATACTTTAAGCGTATGTTCTACATACCCGAGCAAATGTTTTGTAGTTCAATGAACATAACTCCACTAACAAATAATAGTCAATGTAATGTTGTTGTAAAGAATAAGTTAATATTTTTGAAAAAGGTTCTAAAATTCCCTGAAAAAAAAAAAAAAATTATATATATATATATATAAT